TATTGTTTTGGGTAAATGTCAGGACACTTAGAGTAACACTGAACAAGAGCACTGAATTACTACGTGAGGTATAGGAGCCAGAAGTTCAATGCTTTTTTCTAAACTATAATCATTAATTTAATTTATTCTGCTGCCCATGCTACTCTGTTCAGTGCTGTTGTCATAAATGTTGTTGTGTCTGAAGCCCCTGTTTCTATAACTTTCTCTTCATTATCAGCTGGGCTGAGTTATAATATGAATGAGATATTGTATAGTAAAGGTTAAAGGAAAAAGTAGTCATTAATAAACTTGACCTTCAACCTTCTTCAACTCTTCAACCTTTGAAGAGTCAAATTACTAGATGGGTGTGTTGCTTATGCACACCTGGATACAATTGGCCTTTTAAAAACAAATAAACAATCTATCAGCTTCCTTGGCTACCAGAAACCAGAATCAACATAAAAAAGTGTCAAACCTCCTTAAACAGCCAGACCACTGGTTGCAAAGACTGCAGAAGAAGTGGTACAAAACTGTCTTAACCAAAAACATGGTCATGATATATTACTATAAGTGTGCCAGAGAAATGCAAAGTGGAAAGAAAACAACTGGATTCTCCAGTTGTCAGCCATGATGTCCTGCTTTTTTATATGGAATCCCCCCCCCCCCACATGGCCATAAGTCATAATGAGTTAGTATCAGCTCATTTAAAAAATTGGAACCGACCCAATGAAAATACACAGGGCTGCTGCTGCCCTTTTCACCAAAAATCTTTCATTAACTAATGTTGATGTAAGCACATTTAGCCACAGCAGTTTGCATGGCAGTTGAATTGCTGTTTGTATTGAACAGCAAACCAGAGAATAATAAAGGAAAACACAAACATGCCAGTGGTGAGCAAGGGAGCAGGGCAGCCCTTAAGCTTTTTCCATGCTGATCATTTGTTTGTTACAAAAACAGCAACAAGATTGCTCATTATAATGAGGGACACTAATCACACTCAGTTGTCATGGCATTATGTCACTTCAGCTATCCAGAAGTCTCACCTGTATTCTCTTGTGTCTAATTGCAGTAGAGTGTCTATTTGCAGTAGAGCTTCTCAGTGATGCCCAGTAGCCATATTTCATCAACACAGGTTAATAACCCCGTTCTTCATTTGAAATGCTTGTGCTTGAACAATGCACCTAACAAGAAAGCAATTGCATAGAGCAGTGATGGATGTGGAGAAGGCAATTTGGGGGATCTAGGTTACAGTGTCAGTAGTAGGGAAGCAGTAATTAGGGAGCTTATGGATATAAAGACATGGTTGTTGACATCAGAGTACCACTAAAGCAAGTCAGAAGAATATAAATGTGTGTATTTTTTTTAAGTAACGATATGAAGTAGGGTACAGTTAAGCACTGAGTGGCACAAGTGAGAAAATGATATGATAGCTAAAGGAGGAAGACAGGAGAACAAAGCTCTAGATGTGGTTTTGGTACTACCTAGGTAATCTCAGGCAAACCATTTG